ACTGTTTCTTATTGGATAAAAAATATGACTACAAACTGGGAGATTTGGTAACCCTAGTTGTGACACTAATAAATTAAGTATATCCTTGAATTAATCAAAAATAATACTGAGAAAATGTAATGGCAATATTTTGATTACTTGGATAGTTGGAATAATTCAAAACTGTAATAATCGCACACTAATTTTGATTTGATGTCATTTCAACAAGGCATACATACCACAACCAAAAATGTGGTAAAATCGTATTCCTTAATTGTTGCAAGCTTCAAAGCCCAACAGTTATGTCATTCTTATATGAGACATGAATGGAATAACATCTAAACAAAATCCTTCACTGCCTGATTGTATTATGATGTTGCAATAATAACTTCAATATACAAATTAAAAATACTTCTAAATATTGACAGTTAAAGACCATTAGTTATATTGTTTTAAATACTAAATTTTCAGATAATAAAGAGGCATCAGTTAGACATCTAGTTTCTTCTTGGTTAGGAAAAACCTGAACTGATACAGTGATGTTACTTAAGTAACAGTGTAAAGCTCTCCTCCTACAATCTTAAGTTTCTAATCATTCATCTTGTGTTTCTTTACACTTGTTGACTAAAAACAATGATCATTCAGCTACAGTCAATCATTAGTCTAACAACAAATGTATGTAATTAACTAGAAATAATGTATTACCACCAAGAAGGATGGAATACTGCACCCTTGTATTAGTTTAAAAAAAAAAAATTTATTACCTACGAATAAATTCAGGTTACATTTACTAGAAAAAACTTAATCCTAACATGTTAAAGACAGTAGCAAGCTACAAAAATTACCCCTAAGCAAAAAATTTAACATTTTTGAAATAAACAATTTAACTTTAAAGAACGACATTGAAAAAGAAATACATTCATACAACAGTAGAGAGATAAAGTCATTACTCTATTAAATTTAAGCCATGTATATAACATATAAATCACAAAAAATATTATATTATCAGGCAAAAATACTAGATTTGGATAGTTGAAATTTAAAATAATATAAGAATTTAAGTTTGTAGTATAAATGCACTTTTTGTAAGTGAATAAATGGATGAAATGAGTTGTATATAGAACACTGAAACACCTGTAGAGTTTTTTTTAGGGCAACTCCGTTTTTAATAACTAATGTGTAATGATTTTAATGTTGTAATCCTTTTAATTGTAAGTAATTGTTATATTCTTTCAGGGCAACACACTTGTACTTAAAAATAGTAATTTCATTCTTTGATAGATTTTTTAGCTAGAATATTCCTGGTGAAACTTGTTGAATGGACAGCAATTGCCTGTTGTAGAAACACAAGTGTAGAGGATGACATTTGAAAGTCTTTCGTCTTCAGGTCAATGTGTTGTCCATCTTTACAGTATTCTGGTAGATTGTGGAGAGCATATTATTTCATCTTATTACCTATTTTTCTGCAAATATATGTAAATTATTCTAATCAGAGCAGTAACTACAACGAATTAGATTGTGGTGCTTCTATTAAAATTTCATTTCTAAATCATTAAGTCTTTCCTCAACAGTATATATATTCCATCCTCAAAAACATTATATGGGCAAGTAAAAAGTTGTAAAAAACTAAAGTTACTGACCAATAAACAAACTTACCTTTTCTGAACCACCAAAACAAAACTAGTTTTTAAGAGAATCTTATTCTAGTAATCTTAAGATTATCTATATTTGGGATTTTAAGATATATATATAATATAAATTTGTGTAAAGACCAATTCTTAGTCTCAACCTCTAACATTAAATCTATATAATTTTTTTGTTGTAAAGACACTGAGTGATAATGTAGACAATGTACATGGTGCACTTCACAGAGAAAAAAAAACTAACTTTGATAGAGAGTGTCAAGTTCCCATCTGGAGACAATTGTCCTAAAATGTAATTGGTTCATTGCTCAAAACTGAAAAAGTAATTGATATATATGCTGATCATTATTGATTACTTCACCAAGTGTAGTGAAATCTGTCCGTTGTTCAACACGTTAGCACAATCTGTCACTGATATTGACAGAAGAATTGATATGATACTTTGGCACACATGAAGAGATCCCTGAATCAAGGAGCTAACTTCAACAACCAATTTTTTTGTAGAATCATGTTGAGGTTGGAAGTGGTGAAGATGTGCACTTCCCCATATCATCCTCAATCTGATAATTTGGCTGAAAAAGCAGTACAAATTGCCAAACATATGCTTGCTCAGTTTATTAAACCTGAAATAACTGATTGGGACAAGCAACAACTGTATGTCACGATGGCATACCATGCAAATAAGCAATAGTTGACTAGGTGTTCTCCTACTCTTCTGATGTTTGGATGAAAAGTACAACTAGCTCCCTGTATATCTAATGTATGGCCCTCCACCCAATGCAGAAACACTGCAATGTCCACAAGAATATATGGAACAGCTGCATTCTGCATTAGCTGATTAGATGAACTTGTGTGTCAACAAAAGGGTAAAGTGGCCATATGTCATGAGATTTTATGCACTGAAGTTGAATTTCTTGTGCCTTCAAGGCCTCAGGACAGGCCTGCTAAGACATCAACTGTAAAATTTTGGAGGAAGTACAAATTTATGACAGAAGAATGGGGTCTTTTCAACTTTGGAACTTAAATCTGAAAGTATGCAACTAATATCTCTGCTATAGCTGTACTGGTGTCTGCATTGTCTAAGGAAGATGCTGTACTGGTGTCTGCATTGTTTAAGGAAGATGCTGTACTGGTGTCTGCATTTTCTAAGGAAGATGCACACTTCCAACAAACCATTGTTGAGTTTTGATGCTAGTGACACAGGTGTATGAGTGTTTCTCTCAAGTGCAGTATGGTAAAGGATATGTGATCATGTGCTTAAGCTATATACTATCACAAACTAAGTTTAATGGACAATAAGGATAGAACTGATGACCATTGGACAATTTGTCAAACACTTTTGCAACATTCTCTATGGACAAAAAGTTATCACCAGAGTGAATTATACGCCTCTGAGATGGATTACTTACCAATTGGGAGCAACATAACAGATTCTGAATCATAGGCTTGTAAGAATGTCACTTATAGATTGAATACTTCCCAGATAAGCTACACGAAAATCCAGTCAGGCTCTCACAACAACCCATGAGAACATATCTATTAATTCAATGCTACTATCACTCCCACCATACCATATGGCAAGATATTGTGATGGCAGTTTCACCAAACATGGCTGTACATGATAAAAATGCTTCTGAAGCCACAATGAATATCGACGTAAAGTACCAAACCTCATACTAGAAGAAGTCACCATTAATTATAGTTGAAGAATGTAGCATTGAAGCCCAAATTATTTGCATTTAATTGAACAGCTACAGTTGTTGGGTGGTATGCTCTACATATCAATAC